GTTGATTACACTACTATAATCGAAGTCAAATTAGTCCAATCAAACTCGAATTAGTCCAATCGAAATCAAATTAGTACAATCGAAGTCAAATTAGTCAAATTGAAGTCAAATTTGTACAATCGAAGTCAAATTAGTACAATCGAAGTCAAATTATTACAATTGAAGTCAAATTAGTACAATCGAAGTCAAATTAGTCCAATCAAACTCGAATTAGTCAAATCACGGTCAATTATAGTGTAATCTTAAACTCGAATTAGTCCAATCGAAGTCAAATTACTATAATCGAAGTCAAATTAGTATAATCAAAATCAAATTAGTCCAATCGGAGTCAAATTAATCCAATCAAAGTTAAATTACTATAATCAAAATCGAATTAGTCCAATCAAAGTCAAATTAGTACAATCGAAGTCAATTTACTATAATCAAAGTCAAATTAGTACAACCGGAGTAAATTATGGTGTAGTCGAACTCGGATTAGTCCAATATAAAGTCAATTAGTACAATCTCGGGCAATTGTGGTGTAATCAAACTCAAATTAGTCCAATTAAAGTCAAATTAGTAAAATCTCGATCAATTATGGTGTAATCGAACTCGAATTAGTCCAATTGAATTCAAAGTAGTACATTTTTGCTAGTTTTTTTCGTTTTTCTTTTTGTTTTCCACCGTTTTAGGTCGGAAGCACCGCAAGAAATATTTTCAGCCCAAAAAATTTCCCTAAAAGCATGCTCAAGTAGTGGGATTCGTTGGCGACTTGTAGAAAGAATCGAAACTCAATTTCGAGTTCGGACAAGTCCGAACGGTCCCGATATGCAAAGTCGTGCAAGGAAGCCGCCAACTTCAGGTCAAGAGCTTTGAGATAATAGGTTTTCAAGAATAGGTTGGATTCGAAAGCATAATTACATAGAAGACTTTGTTGGCGACATGTAGTAAAAAAAAAATTCAATTTCGAGTTCGGACGAGCCCAGACGAGCATGAATTTTGCTAGTCTTCTTCTTTTCTTATTCTTTTCCCTCTTTTTAGGCCGGAATCCCCGTAAGAAATAGTTCCAGCCCGAAAATTGGTTAGAAAAGCATGCTCTAGTAGTAGGATTCGTTGGCGACATGTAGAAAGAATCGATACTCAATTTCGAGTTCGAACGAGTCCTAACGGTCCCGATATGCGAAGTCGTGCAAGAAAGCCGCCAACTTCAGGTCAAGAGCTTTGGGATAATAGGTTTTC